TGAGGGAGATTCCTACATCTGAGCCATTCTTTTTAGGTGACAGATCTGGGAAACTGTCTCAGATTGAGGTGTCAGTAGCGGAGGTTTTGGAACAAATTGATAAATTAAACAGTAATGAGTAACCAGGACCACATGATATTCACCCAAGAGTTCCGAAGGAACTCAAATGTGAAATTGCAGAACCTATCATTTAAATCAGCTTCTATACCAGATGACTAGTGGATAGTTAATGTGACGTCAATTTTTAAAAAGGCTCCAGAGGTGATCCCGGAAATTACAAGCTGGTAAATCTAACTTCAGTACCAGGCAAATTGGCTGAAACTATAGTAAAGAACAGAATTATCAGACACATAGATGAACATGATTTGTTGGGGAAGAGTCAACATGGTTTTTGTAAAGGGCTCACCAATCTACTAGAATTCTTTGAGGGGATAAACAAGCATGTGGACAAGGGTGATTCAGTGGATATAGTGTACTTGGACTTTCAGAAAGCCTTTGACAAGGTCCCTACCAAAGGCTCCTAAGCAAAGTAAGCAATCATGGGATAAGAGGGAAGGTTCTCTCATGGATTGGTAACTGGTTAAAAGATAGGAAACAAAGAGTAGGAATAAATGGTAAGTTTTCAGAATGGAGAGAGGTAAATAGTGGTGTCCCCCAGGAGTCTGAACTGGGACCAGTCCTGTTCAACATATTCATAAATGATCCGGGAAAAGGGGTAAACAGTGAGGTAGTAAAATTTGCAGATGATATAAAACTACTCAAGAGAGTTACATCCAAAGCAGACTGTGAAGAGTTACAAAGGGATCTCAGAAAACTGGGTGACTGAGCACCAAAATGGCAGATGAAATTCAATGTTGATAAATGCAAAATAATGCACATTGGAAAACACAATCCCAACTATACAGATAAAATGATGGGGTCTAAATTAGCTGTTACCACTCAAGAAAGAGAACTCTGAGTCTTTGTGGCTATTTCTTTGAAACATCTACTCAATGTGCAGCGGTGGTCAAAAAAGCTAACAATGTTGGGAATCATTAGGAAAGGGGTAGATAATAAGACAGAAAATATTATATTTCCTCTAATATAAATCCATGGTATGCCCACATCTTGAATATTGCATGCAGATCTGGTTGCTCCATCTCAAAAAACATATATTGGAATTGGAAAAGGTACAGAAAAGTAGGGGTATAGAACAGCTTCCATATGAGGAGAGATTCATAAGATAGGGACTTTTCAGCTTGGAAAAGAGACGACTAAGAGGAGATATGATAGAAGTCTATAAAATCATGATTGGTGTAGAAAAAGTAAATAAGGAAGTGTTATTTACTTCTTCTCATAACACAAGAACTAGAGGTCACCAAATGAAATTAATAGGCAACAGGTTTATAAATTAATAGGCAACAGGTTTATAAATTAATAGGCAACAGGTTTAAAACAAACAAAAGGAAATATTTCTTCACATAACACATAGTCAATCTGTGGTACTCTTTGCCAGAGGATGTTGTGAAGGCCAAGACTATTAACAGGATTCAAAAAAGAACTAGATAAGTTCATGGAGGATAGGTCCATCTCAAACTTCATTGCACCGCGACCCCCTTCTGACAACAAAAATTACTACATGACCCCAGGAGGGGGGAATCAAAGCCTGAGCCCACCCAAGTCCCACCACCACCCCCCAAGGGCTTCGGCCCCAGGCAGGGGACTTGTAACCTGAGCCCTACTATCCAGGGCTGAACCCCTTGGGTTTCGGCTTTGGCCCCAGGTGGTGGGGCTCAGGCTTCGGCTTCCACCCCAGCAAGTCTAAGCCAGCCCTGACAACCTCATGACCCACTTTGGGTCCCGACCCACAGTTTGAGAACCACTGATCCATATAAGAACCACATTGCTGTTGTTGTGAGGAAAAGGTTATTCTTGTAGCTACAGAAATCTTTCTGTTCAAGCTAAGTTCTTCTTTCCACAATGCCTGGGAAATAGTTCTTTCATACTTTTGTTTCCATCCTTAGCACCAGTTGGCATGTAAGGCATCTGGGACCTAATTATGGAGTAGGACTCAAGGTTCCCTCTACACAGTCTCTATTGGCATTGTGGGGGAAAGTGTTTGAGCCTCATCTGAGGAAGATTTGTGAAACAGGTTTCCATTGGTACTAGGAAGGTGTTGTTGGGTTGGTTCCCAAATAATTCCTTAAATTAAAAAGATCTTGCTCTGTATGGGGGAAACTTCTATGTCTGTCTGTTATTCTACTCCAATAATAATTAAAACTCTGCTTACCCTTTCCTTTCCTCTGTGCTTCACTTCTTGCTACATCCCATTAGTGATGAATGAGGAGAGAAGGTGTGCAGGAGAATGAGAAATTTCTTACCTGATAATTTTCTTTCTGCTAGTAGCTTCTCTCCTCATTCAGCTCACCTTGATAGTCTGGTAAATTACTGAAATACAATTTATTACAATTGACATTTTCCTCTGAATCAAGAGTTGGATATATAATTACCTTAATATTATTTATATAGTCTATCAAGTTGTGTCTTAATGCTAATAATCAGTTGCTAGAGTTCTATTTAGAAGAACTCTTCTGGTGGCCCGAGTTAAATAGCCTCCAGCAACTACATTGAACTGCCTCCATATTCCATAGGAGGGAGGTATTATCCATTAGTGATAAATGAGGAGAGACGTAGTGAACAGAAACAAAATGATAGAGTAAGAAATTTCTTATTCACTGCACCAGTGAAAATAGTCTGGTTAGTTTAATTTTTGTTTCTACTTAGTTTTATATCCAGATCTTGGTACAATAACACAATGCTATACTGTTTGGATTGTAAACAGTGCAGGAAAATGCTTCGGTCCTATCAAAAACTGGTTTTAACTGTTTTTAAATCATGAAAATATTTATATTAATACTGAGCCAAATCCTGACTTTTTTACTTAGGTAAAACTAATTGTATTCAATGGCAGTAAAGAATGAATAGGGACTTAGGGATTTGGGCTATTAAGTTTTGCAAAACCATTTTATTCTAAAATTAATACATTATACATCTGGGGCTTATTCTACCTTACGGTGTCTCTTGAACAAAATAATTCCTGGAAAAAAACAAACTAAGGTGCTGATCACCCTCAATGAGAGAATTTGGGGAGCTCAGATCTTGCTCTGTAAATAGGTTGCCAAATTAAATTACTTTGGCAACTTTAATTAGAATCTTGTCAGGTAGCAAATATAATGTAATTAACATCCTTCCTCGTGTATAACAACTTTCATGATGAATATTTGCATGCTGCCATTATTACCAGTGAAATCGGGGATACTATGAATCTTCTCAAGAAGGTTCAATAAATTTAGCTCAAAGAAGCTGAGCTGGTCAGTATTTAACCTGTGCATTGCTGCCAGCTCTTATGATTATATCACAAGTCGCATAGAACTTAATGTTTTTCTTGAAACTCCAGCTCATGGAATCAAGTGATAATGGAAGAATTTATCTTTCATTTAAATAAGTAAAAGTAAGTTTCTAGCTCTCAGTGTTGTGGAGAAAAGCTTGAAAATATGAACTGAATGTATCCTAACAGCTCAGAAAGCAGAAGACAAATAAAAACAATCTACCATTTTTAAAAAAAATCTAATTATTTTTAAGCCAATCTCATGTTTTTTAAGCAGATTAATAATTTTTTAATGCTTCATATTGGCAGTACTGTTTGTGGTACCACTAGAAATGTATGAACCAATTCAAATGAAATAACAAATACCATTAGCCCAATTCCTGAAATAATCCCAACCAGAACTTTTTTGAGGTTTGATTTAAAAAAAAAACCCACAGGTGTTTGTTTGTTTAATTTATATGCATTTGCTCCTCTGCATTTCAGCCAAGAGGAAATACTAAAATACACCGTTGGTTGCAGGCCTGGTTGAAACCAAAAAGGAATTTCATGCAATTGGAATAAACATTGTAACTCTATCATCCTTCTTTAAAGGAAACCTTCCAAACTTGTGAGGTCCACCCAGACCTAACCATCACTGAAAAACAACTGCAGGAGCATCAATGATGCATTCTAGCAGCAATTACATCCCGTACTTTTCCACCAGGATGATCTCTGTGACAGGAGGAAGTGAACTTGGGGGAATAAAGGAGACAAAATCTTTTTCTCAAGTGGTTTTAATGAGACAGGGTAAAATTTTCAAAAGTGCCCAAGTCCCATTTTCAAAAGGGATTTAGGCACTTAAGAGCCTTAGTCCCATTGACTTTCAATGAAATGTAGGATCTTACGTGTCTAAATCACTGTTGAAAGTGGGATTTAGGATCCTAAGTCACTTGGGTGCTTTTGAAAATTTTACCAACACTCCTCTTATAACATCTGGGGGCTTCTCCCAGATGACAAATCCCCCTCCTATATATATATGCTGTTAGTGAGTATTCTCTTTCATTGAACTGAAAGCAAAATGTATTTTTATATTATGAATTTTTTAAAGGACATAGGGCCCAAGTCATCCCTGAGATAATTTCACTGATTTCAGTGATTTATCCCAGGGATGAATTTGGCCCATTGTCTTTTTGGTTCTATGTAGCTTGTTAGCAACCAGTCATCTGCACTTTGTCTATGGGAGCTATATCCTTGAGAAAATCAGTGGACACGATGAGCATGTTCATTGTAGTGCTACTGATCCCAACAGAGTGGTTCTCTTTTTTTTTTCTGTGGTTACAGAAAAAGGCACAGTCTGATGTTCTGTGGCATTCTGTGGCATTTCACTAACTGAAGCCCGTAGTGAAAGGCTACATTTTTTTGGCTGTTAGGGACTTGAATTAGGACTTCAGTCTGTACATGCCTTATTGTAGAAACCTGCTAAGCCTTCGTGGCAGCTTCTATGAAAACATAAATGTGGTGACTAAAGGTTGTAACAATTAAATGAGACATTTTACAGTTATGGGTTTTTGGTAACTGAAAATCTGAAATGCATTGATAATTTCATTATAATTAGCAGCATCAGTAACAGTGCTCCTTTGCTCTTGTTTTTCAGCTTCGAGTTTTCAAGTTGGCAAAATCTTGGCCAACACTGAATATGCTGATAAAGATTATTGGTAACTCAGTGGGGGCTTTGGGAAATTTGACGTTGGTGCTGGCCATCATTGTCTTCATTTTTGCTGTGGTTGGAATGCAGCTGTTTGGTAAAAGCTACAAGGAATGTGTCTGCAAGATCTCCAATGACTGTGAACTTCCACGCTGGCACATGCATGACTTCTTCCACTCTTTCTTGATTGTATTCCGAGTACTATGTGGAGAATGGATAGAGACTATGTGGGATTGTATGGAGGTTGCGGGGCAAGCCATGTGCCTTATTGTTTTCATGATGGTCATGGTGATTGGAAACCTAGTGGTATGTACCTAATTTATTTTGCAAAAAATGATGCCTTATGTGATAAAATATGCTTTTAATTTTAACTGAGGTGAACTAATGGGAGTTAAGGGCCAACTTTTTAAAATTTAAACTATCCAAATTCATTTCATATTTTAATCAAAATAAGACATGTTCATATCATAATTGAGCCTGGAATGTGAATTGATGGCTCTGTGAACACTCTTTCACACATTTCTTATGGATTTATATACAGCAGCCTATACTAGGAATACTCTGTCTGTATGGTATGTGTAGTGTATGTGTATGTCAGGACAGCCGGGTGACTGGCTGTAGCTTGAGCAGGAGTAGACTCAGGCTGGAGCAGGAGCACGAGCTGGAGCAGGAGTAGTCTCTGTCATTACATCAGGCAGCAGGGGGCATCCCCAACAAGGTAGTGACACGGAGCAGACTGGAGTTGCTACTTTCATTAGGATCCTATATACCTGCCATGGGGTCACCTGGTTAGACCTTTGCTTGTGGATTGGCTAGACCATTAGGACATGTAAGTAATTATCTCAAATGACTCAGGCTCCGAGCACTCAGAACACACAGGCTCAGAGATAACTCTTTAGGCTCAGAACACTCAACACAATATATTACATTGTATGAGTATTTATTTCTGTAGCATTTATTGAATATTATTTTTCTGATTGTCATATTTATTTAAATAGTAAAGGTCAACGGTTTGCTAAGTATCCATCCTAAGAAGCTGGGTACATGTATGGTGGGGGAGGGGAGGAAGAAATGATCTCATCCCCATGCTGCAGAATGACTGCACAACTGCGTCCTAATGGCTGGAGTAGCCTCTGTGAGTCCTTTATAGCCCCTCTTCAGGGCAGAGAGTGGGTCTACTGCCACCCTCTCGCAGCCTCTCTACACATGCCTTCACCTGTCCCATGCACACTATTGTGCAAAGAGTTCATACAGAGTGGGGCTCAACTTCTGGGACCTGGGTTTTCTGAATTGTCATCTAGCCAAGTGCATTTTGTGGGGATTTACAACCTGAAATGCTGTTGGCAAGAAATAGTACAATACAGCAGGCATAGACTAGGAAGAATGGCCTTCAGATAGTTTGATATTACCGCTAATCGTGAAGTAAAAATTATGTCATTAAGCATGCCATAAAGTAATTACTGTCATCACTTAAAAAATAAGACATCAGCTATGTTTTCTACTTACTGTCTTTTAGGTACTCAACCTCTTTCTGGCCTTACTGCTGAGCTCATTTAGTTCAGACAACCTTGCGGCTACAGATGATGATAATGAAATGAACAATCTCCAAATTGCAGTGGCAAGGATTCAGAAGGGAATAGATTATGTGAAAAGAAAAGCACATGAATTCATCCAAAAAGCCTTTGTTAGAAAACAGAAAGCTTTAGATGAAATCAAGCCTCTTGAAGATCTAAACAACAAAAAAGACAGCTGCATTTCCAACCATACTGTCATAGAAATAGGTAAAGACCTTCACTATCTTAAGGATGGGAATGGAACTACCAGTGGCGTAGGCAGCAGTGTGGAAAAATATGTCGTTGATGAAAGTGATTACATGTCATTCATAAACAATCCAAGCCTCACTGTGACAGTACCAATTGCTGTTGGGGAATCAGATTTTGAAAATTTAAATACAGAAGAGTTTAGCAGCGAGTCAGATCTAGAGGAAAGCAAAGAGGTAGGTCTATTTTATATTTATCAAGATGAGTTGTGGTTTTATTTTCCATTTTAGCATTGATTTATCTAAATTTGATTCCTTTATAGTACCATATACAACCTTGTAATAGTAGATACGAAACTTGATGGAAGGTTGTAAGTTTCAAATGTGAAAGAAGTAGAATATTCTATTCTATTTATTGTGACAATAGAGACACTTTTGACACTTTTTGAAAATTAAGATTAATTTCTATTTTTCATTTTTATTTTATCAAGACAATTCAATAATTGCAAAAGGTGCCAATTTTCTAGCCCAGGAAATTGAAGTCCTCAGTTTATGCATAGAACCACCATAGAATGAGAAGCAGTCATGCAAATTTCCCCACACTTCCCCCACCAGTGCCTTAGTATTTCAACTGGATTCTGGGGGGTCTGCTTTTGGAAATAACAGTCTCCATTCCTGTTCAATGTTTGACCTCTTTGAGACTGTCAAAAAGAGTGCCCATGATGACTATGGCTTTTTTTCAGAATATAGCACTTGGATTCTGTACTATGATCATCGACACCACTGAAGTGCCATCAGATGGTAACAACCACTAGTTAGGGCTAGATCTAAACCAGTGACCTAGAGGTAACTGTCACGGAGTGTGGGGGAGTCAGGGCCCTACACCCTCACTTCCTGCGATTCACCGTGACTCTCAGCCAGCCAGAAGGTTTATTAGACAACAGGAACACAGTCCCAAGCAGGGCCTGTAGGTACAACCAGGACCCCTCAGCCAGGTCCCTCTGGGGGGGCAAGGAGGTTAGACCCGTTCCCTGCGTCTTCCCAGCCAGCCCAAAACTGAAACCCCCTCCAGCTGACTCACTCCCCTCCCCCCGGCTCCTCCTCTCGCCTTTGTCCAGTTTCCTGGGCAAAGATGTCACCTGGCCCCACCCCCCTTTTGGCTCAGGTTACAGGCTCAGGTATCATCCCTCAAATAAAGTCATCCCCTGCTCTCCCATCCCCAACGCAAACAGTCCCAGTAAAACTAGACGACATTCCCAGGTCAATCCGCCCCGCTCCCTACTGCGTCACAGTAACAAAGTCTGGAAGCTTTTTATCCCAACATCAATCAAATTCACACAGCTGCCCATCTTTATCCTGCAAATGTTGAGGCATTTGAATCCAATAACTTTCCCTGCCACAGATTAAAATTTAAGACACAAGTGTCCATGGATGAGCCTCTCATGCCTGAGTCTGAGGGTATGTGTAATATTTAATAGCTCACCCTGAGTTCCTTTTTCCCACTGGCTGCGTCAAATCTGGAACCACTTTTTCCAGTTTCTCTAGAGAAGTTCCTTTACTGTCACATTTTACAAATATATTTTTGTTTAAAAATTGTTAAGAAGAGTGCTTAGTTTGTAGTTTATTGTTGAAATTATGACTCAAAATAGAGCAGAACAGGAAAAGTGGTTTAATAGACCTCTGACATTGTAAGGTTTATTATTATCCCTCTAAGTGTCCTACATTTCCTAAGTGCAAACATAGGACATATATCTGCTGAACTATTCTATTCCATTTTAATCTGCACTAAAGAAGAAGAAACATTCCCCCTCAAGCACCTTCTAAGAGGTTTGGTTGGTGCATCATTCCATGATGATCTATTTCCAAGCTTTCACTGCTACCAGAGGCTCAGCCAAGTTTACTACCAAGCTTATCAAAGTCTTTCTAATACTGAGAGAATCAGTAATGGTCAGATAACAGCAGTGACACAGGTTCTTTCTCCCCCTCTACCTAAATCATGTAGTTTCTTGGTATAATCCTGCTCCTTGAGCCTTCTGTTTTTCCATGTTTCCAGACATTTCCCCCGAAATAAGATTATACACAACTATAGATGCTATCCATATGCTATGTTAGAATTTTGGGGAGAAAGGATCATTGTATGGTTCAAACTCATGATGAGGGTCAGAAGACATGGGTTTTGTTCCTTACAAACTTTCTGTATTATCCTGATGAAGTCACTTAATCTGTCTGTCTCTGTTTCTTCATCTGTAAAATAGGAATAATAATTATATAAATTACAGTGGTGTTGTCAGGCTAAATTTATTAATTTGTGTAAAACACATAGAACTTTCCATATGAGGAATTAAATGGGACATCAAAATACTACCATTGTATTGTACCATATTTGTGTGCATTGACTATAATTGTCAGTGATGCATTAGGTGGTAGATACTATTGTATGAATGATGATAAAGAAAAATTCTGTGAACATCAATACTCTTAGATGGTGACTAGTCCTACTAAGACCAGGACCTTGTACTCAGTGGTACACTTATAAAACCTCTCTTTCTCTCTCTCCACTTATTATTCTGAGCTCCCACCCAAATCCAAGTAATTTTGTGTAAATACCAGATTGGGGTCCACATATTAATGGAGGGGCTTTTCTTTTGCCTTGCACTGTTTATGCTTCTTGCTGAAAGTACTTGTTTAGACATGTCTCAGGCATCCACTTTTGCTTTTCTAGTCTGTCCTTTGTCCCCAGGATGGATTCCCAAGCACAGGACTCTGAGATCCCTCACGCTCCCACCAGATTCTCTTTTTTTAATCTTCCTTTCTGGATCTTTTCCTACAATATGAATTAAGCTTAAATAAACAGGCATTAACATCTATCTTCTCTTGGGAAATCCTGTCTGGGATTAGATTTATATATGCTTTTCCTTTATTCCTCTAGGGCTTGAGCCTGCCAGACACTGAGCATTCAGGCTCCGACTCATCTTTAAGCACAAAGTTAAAGCACTTGTTTAAGTGATTTGCTGGATTGGCACCAGAGTGCTCAGCACCTTGCAGGATCAAGCCCTTAATAACAAGGGCTGTACATAAGATAAGACAGGGCAAAGATCCTAACATCCCTTTCGTGGGCTTGTCTCTATTGACAGCTCCTATAGACAGCTTCATCCCAGCCCATTAATAACCTTCAAATACATCCACAAGTATTACATTAACATCAGCACAATACCTTTTTGTCTTTTCATCTAGACCATTTGTTGATCCTTCGGAAGTCATGTGTTCCCTTTAATCACATCTAATGAGTTTTGGTTAAACTAAGAAAGGCATCCAACTCATAAGATTTTCTTTTACATTTTAAAGTAATAGAGATTCTTGGCAAGATGCAGTAGTAAAAAGTTTCCCTGGTGGATTCATTAATCACTTAAATTGTACATGGTCTCCTCTCTTTATTCTTCTCAGGTATATAAGTCTTATTAAACTGTCTTTCTCCTCTCAGACTAAAACTGTTAGGCATTTCAGCTTCATCCTGTAAGGCAAAAGATTGCTCTGTGTTCATGAATTATTTAGTAGGTAATTTTCCTCATTTAAAATCTCCAGCCTCTAGGTGTTTCCTTAATCTGGTATTTAGCAAATAGTAAGCCTCCGCAGAAATGTCCTGTGTATTAGCTCTCCTTCAAGATAGTTGTTCTCAGTCATTGATATTACTGCTTCTGGAAGGTTAGTGAACTACAAGTTCGGACGGTTAATTCCATTTCCTAGGGATAATGAAGTTCTATGTCCTTATCTTAAAGTGGTGTTAAACTTTTGTGAGACAAGGTGAATGAGGTAATATCTTTTATTGGACCAACTTCTTCAGAAGAGCTGTATGTAGCTTGAAAGCTTGTCTCTTTCACCAACAGAAGTTGAACCAATAAAAGATATTACCCTCACCCACCTTGTCTTTCTATCCTGGGACTAATATAGCTACAGTAATACTTAATTTTGATATAATTCCTGGAGGGATCATTCTCTAGGGATCAAATCATGGGACAGTTGGTAAGCAGGGGTTCTAGGTTCTATTCCCAGCTCTTTCATTGAGTCACTCTATATCCCTGGGCAGGTCATTCAGACTCTCTCCAGCTTTTCCATCTGTAGGATGGGTATAATACTTCCTATTTCACAGGAGTATTATTGGGTATTATTTACTAATGATTGCTAAGCACCTTAAGATCCTCAGATGAAAGGAATTATAGATGTGTAAATTATTCTTAATTATATTTTGCCAGCCTTTTCCTTTCATCCTCATTCTTCAGGGTTTGTGTTGTTTTCTATGACATTTCTATTTAGAGGCAGGGCCGGCTCTAGGTTTTTTGCTGCCCCTAGCAAAAAAAATTTTGGCTGCCCCCCCCCCCCCCCCCCCCGCCGCCCCAGCCTGGGTCACTGGTAACTCGCTCCCAGGGCGGGTCATTCAGAAGGAATTTTGGATGTGCACAGAACACAGACAGGATTGGTTCCCATATGGTTACAGAACTGCAGTAAAGTGGAACAATTTTCAGCTTGTGTGATTGAAGGCTATCTGGATGCATATTATAAGACTGTCCTACATAAATGAGGAAAAGTTGAGGTGTCTTTATTATTCTTTTGTTCCATTCTTTGTTTCTATGGGGAATTTGCCAATGCAATATCACTGTTTTCCTTTTAAACAAATAAAACTAAAACTTAATAATAATAATAATAATAATAAAAAAAGCAATGGCTGTTGAAAATAGCAATTCCAGTCCTAATAACCACTGGGAAGCATTTCTTGCTCAATTTATTCTACTTTTTCCTACAGCAAGTTACAGTGGATCAGTATATTTGATTTGGGAGAAATGAAGTAACAGCTGCCCAAATTGAGCTTTGAGCACTCCTGAATTTTGAGGGTGTTCAAATCTGGAAGGCAGGTGCTAGATTCCCTTTCTGAATATTAGCTAAATCTGGAAAAGAAAAGTCAATTTCTGCTTCCATGGCTCAGAAGTGTAAATCCTCCTACGTGCCTGGTACTGTATCTAAAGCTGCCCAGTCTAGTAGAGCCTCCCCTCCCTTACTTTTCATTTTAAATTCTAGTGGGATCCATGTACCTGCCTTGCTAGGCTTCAGATAGAGAGGTGCAATGTCCATTTAGTCCACCCAATTCTTTCTTTGGGGGAGAGCCCGGGGCTGGGGCGGCAGGAGGTGCAGGGGGGGGGAGAGCCAAGGGCTGGGGTGGCAGGAGGTGCAGTGGGGTGGGGGAA